TATGAACAACCAGGCTGACACCATTATGGATAGTAAACATACACAAAGAACATGGTCCAGGAAGAAGTTAAGCAACTTTCAGCTGCTCCTAAAGGGGGGGGGGAGAAAAGGAAAACCACGGGATTCCTGAAGCAAGCAGATCCAAACATCTGAATGAGCTGCAAACAACCAGGGCAGAGAGAGGCTCCAGAACAGCACACAGAGAACCCGAGAAAACAGGGAGGAGAAAATACAGAGGGAGGGAGAGAGGGGGGCACACAGCCTGGACACTAATAAAAGTAGTCAGCTAATTTTAATGAATATCATCCTCCAATCACACTACATAGCAACAAATATGTTACATAAATATCAGCCATGAAGCCCACAGTGCCACTTGCCCTAAAAGTATCACAAATATATTAATAACATGCAGACTCTTCAACTTGTATTGCTACAGATCAGACTAAAAGAAATAAAATGGGTGAGGTGTTGTAGTGATTCCAAGTAGTGCCCTGAAGCTTTGATTCACCACAAATAGAAAGAAAGCCCCAGTGCTTAAGGCTTCATCTGCCCTAGCACAGACACAACCCCTGCATGCATTTGCATTATGCCCAGTATGAATCATGACACACGAATCAGAGAACAATCTAAGTATAGTCATGGCTACAGCCACAACCACAATGACAGCGACAGTTCTGTTTGAGTGATAGGATTACTGCTGACATACATTTACACATGATGGTCCTATATAGTTTACCTACAGTTGATAAGCTCAAGCTCTGATATGTCAATAAGTAAATATTGTAGCCTGCTGGAGGAGCCAGGGGGGAACACCATGGACTGCACACACACACACACACACACGAGGGCATACCACATATGGACAGTTACACACCCGGCGGGGGTGAGGACTGGTGCAGTGGCATACAGTAGCATGTGATCTGGGGGGAGGAAACTTTGGGTTGGCAGGTTCTTTTGGGGGGAAACTGGTAATAGAGGTAGAGGCTATCCGGGGTTGGGTGGTGTATCGGTCATGTAAACATGCATAAAAAGACAGCCTGACTCCAGTGTCATTCCTTGGCAGAATCTCTAGAATCCACTAGATCACCACACTGGTGTCAGAAGTGGGATTTTCTTCAGAATCAGAATCAGAATCATCTTTACTGGCCAGGTGTGTTGAATACATGAGGAATCTGACTCTGGTACAGTGGTTCTCAGTGTGTATGTACAATGTTCTTCTATAAAACAACAATTAGACAAGTAAACAAGATAAGACTGACGGAACAAAAAAAATGTGCAAAAAAGGAATGTGCAGTAGGAAAATAAAAATAAAGTACTTATAAACACAGAAACATATGTACACAGAGTTTAGATGCAGTTTTTCAGATAGCTCATCCTAAAGTCCACTGTGTTGAGCATTTTCAGCTCCAGGTTGTTGTGACCACACCACAGGGCCAGATGTCCAACTTCTTGCCGACTTATCACCCTCTCGGACCGTTGTATTATCAGCTATATTTAGGAGTTCAACAGAGGGGTCCTCCGAGGTTGATTAAAGCTGTTCAAAAAAGGTTCTAGGCTGTGATTGGGCAGCTTTTTGTCAGTCAAAGCTGGCGACACCGACTGGATTGTGGCGGAGCGCTCAGCCGTGAGGGGCGGGTGGACTGGGTGTTGCCTGTGTGTCAGAGCTGAAATCGGATCCCCAGCTCAGACGACCGTTACCCGTCGACATAGCTGCCTTCTGTAGCCGTCGTTCTGTGAACCCTGCTCACAAAATCTCTGTCTAACCGACCGCCATGGGAGTCGAAGGCTGCACCAAATGCATCAAGTACCTGCTGTTTTTCTTCAACTTCATCTTCTGGGTAAACAGGCGTATTTGACTTAAATGTGTTATTTATGTGTGTTCACATCGCTGCGCAGCCGCTTTCCGATATGTGGTTAGCGGTTTCTATTCGTTTAGTCTGGAATTCCATCAGGAATGAACGATACTGGATACGTCAGCATCAGTAGTACATCTTAGAATTATAGTTTATAACGCTGTGTCTTCTGAAACACTGTATATGCTAAAAGACATTTTTTGAAAACCCATTATATAAGACCATGGAAAAATTAGGGAAACCTGTCAAAAGGCCAGAAAAACATGTTAAGTGACGTAACTACACGACAAATAGGTGGTGGTGAATGTAACAGAACACACGGTCGGAGCAGAGTCACCTCAAGTGTTAAAAACCATACAGTGAAACTGAGAAGATAGCGGAGCCCCAAAATGGCAAGTCCACTCGACAGTTTAAGTTTGTTGTGACATAAACACGAGGTCCAACCATTCTGAATTACCGTTCAGGCCAGTGGCTGGAGTTCTGATAGCATATGGACTGCTAGGCTGCTAACAACGTTACTTCGTAGCTCTGCTGTGCCAAGTCCTCACTTGTGTACGGTACATACTTACTTGGGTTTAGAAAATGGCTTTGTTTAGGTGACGCCCTCCACCCAACTTGTGTATGTGTGTGTGTGCGCACGCGCGCGCCTGGCATTGCAGGCATTATGGGGGCCGAAACCTGTTTACACGCTATGGGGACTGGGCCTCCCCTTGTGGGACCAGATGCTGGTCTCCACCACGTAAATCAGAGAAATTTAGGGCGGTGACTTGAGGTGAGAGGGTAAAGTTATGGTTATGGTTAGGGTTAGGCAAGTTGGTGTTTATGGTTAGGAGTAGTCTCCAGGAAATTAATGTAAACCAATGTAAAGTCCCCCCAAGAAATTAAAGGAAATGCGTGTGTGTTGGTGAGTCAAGCCCCTCTGTTGGGTGCTAGATCATGGAAATATTTGTGGGTGTTTAGCTTTTACTGTTCTTGTGTAAGACTTACTGCATAGACCTTCACTGATCCGCTGATTTGGTACTTTCCTTTCTTTCTTTGGTTTTTAAAAATTCAGCAGTTGTAGCCTAAATCAATAGTCTTATACTTTTAAAGGTAATATCAACAGAGCGTTGTGTGGAGTGTCAAGCAACCAGACTGGCTGATTGAACGCCTGTCATGAGACTGCTTCTAAGCTGAGAAGAAAACAAGCATAAGTGGGAAATCTGAAATAAAACAGCCCAGTAGTAAACCATATAAAGGACATTATTATTATTGAGAGGGTTGGTGTTTTTGAGATACTGAAATATGATCTAACTACTACTGCTTAGAGTAACTGATTAATTTACTTAAAGGTTTGCAGATAGTAAAGCAGGACACAGCACGGGTGTTTACAACCCTCATAATTAATAATTATCACAGGGGCAACCATTTTATTTTTTGCGATTATTGCAAGACAGACCATATTAATATAGCAGTCCCATTACAATGTCATCTACTAGGAATGTGTGTGTGCGTGCGTGCATGTGTTTGATTAACAGACACAGTGCCTTGCTGGATGATGTCACATTTTGTTGGGCCTATTTCACCTTTTTAGCCCGAGGACACTGCCTCGTTTTATGTTGACATGCTTGTTGTCCTGACAGACTGGCTCCATTTAAATTAATGAGAAGGCCACTGCTGGCCTAAGAGTCTATCGGCGTTAAACATCTCAGCAACGAATACTGCAAGTACTCCGATTCTGTCATTTTGTCATTTAACCTCTGTGTACACTAAACATGAGATGTTGCCACTCCTGCTGCATGTAATCTTCCTGTGCCTTCTCTTTAGCAAATATCTGGTTAGTTATCTAATATAATAATACAGCGGTAAGGGGCAGCCAGAGGTGGTTGAATATTCTATGCAAGTCTGACAAACATCGGCTCCTGTTTATGAAGATGAGGTCTCCCACACAGTCCTGGGACAAATTAGTCATGTTTTAATAGCTATGGTGACTGGTCAGGATGCTTTGGTATTTGTGTTTTTTTTTTTTTTATAAACTGCATTTGTAAGAACATCATAGAAGTTGTCTGGGTGTGGCTTTTGAAAGTGTGTGTTAGTACAGTGTTGCTTAATGCACTTATTGTGTACTCAGTGGGCACTTGTTTCCTTAGAAACACTGGCACACAGTCCACTTTGCCATTACATGGGCTTATTATTTTTGAAACAAGCTGTTTATTCTAAATGATAATATAAATAATTGGGACGGGCATTTTAAGCTAAAATGCTATTCGATATTTGCTCAGAACTATTCGACAATTATTCAAAGATTCCTAATGACCGCATTTGAGAAAGGCACTCCATATGACAGAATGAGTAAGCACTGAAAAGAGGTAACTAATGCATCGACATTTTACCTGGTCAAGGATATGATTCCTCAAAAAGCTGTGTAAAAATTAGGGGTTCAAAACACTGCTCAAAGTAGTTAATCTGCGGTATGAGACACCAGCTGCAAATATTTTTTCAGCACGCTCATTGTGCTGCTGTAGCAACAACTGATTTATGGTCTAGTCACACTGCTGTATGGTTATTATCTTTTTCTCTTAGGTTTTGTTACCTTGTAAGTTTTATTTTTTTAAATAGGAAAATATTGTGTTGTGCAGTACTGTTCAGTAACTTGCAAAATAATCTTTAAAAAAACTACATGTAAAGGATTGTGATCCTGCATGAAAAAAATCATGAAATGATATTTTTACCATACTAGTAGTGCCAATAGATATGTTTGAATTCTACTTGATAAATAAGACCAACAAAGCAAAAGTCATCTGGCTTATTGATTGCTCATTGGAAATGCAAATTATACTGTATCACTTACTAAATAAGCTGCGTCATTGTTAGTTTTAAGTAAGCTACTTAATGCTGTATATAACTAGTGCTGGTGATGTCAGGCCATATGATCTCTTCATAAATGTGGATCCCAGTAGAGAATGTTTGGTAGCCCATATGAGCCTGTCAGGATTATGACTTTTTACCTGCATTTACTATCACCCACAATAGCAACTGGAAGTAAGACAAAAACAAAACTGAGCGAACAAAAAAAGGGGCAGACTAACTTAAAGTCCGTACCCATATGAGCAGCTTTGTGAGGCCCAAGGTCTAGGCCTAAACACAAAGTACGCTTGGATCTGGAAGGATTGTCATTAATGTTGCAGGTGCAGATTACGCTTCCTGTTACAGCCTCTTAGCGGAGAGAGTGTGGATACATTAGATGATACTATAGTGCCGTAAATCCCACGGGCTGACATATTGCAGACATATCCATCAGTTTAAAAGCGGCTTCATCAGAAAGTCAGGCAGCCGGCAGTGAGGGTTTTATTTAATCATTTAACCACCTTTATTGGCCAAGTATGTTGCACACAAGGAATTTGTTTCCAGTAGAGAACTGATGGCAGCCATCTGCGGCACCAACTCAACCAATGGCTCTAACCATCGGGGGCAACGGGGGTTCAGTCTCTTGCCCAAGGACACTTTGACATGTAGACTGCAGGCACTGAGATTCAAACCTTCAACCTTCCGGTTGGGAGACGACCGCTCTACCCGCTACACTGTCGCCTCAATCAATTTTACATGTCTGTATTTCAGACATTATAGTATTTGCTGATAATGTATTATAAGATACATCCTAATATTCTAATAAACAAATGTTTATTATACTTAAAAACAGGAGGAGAGAGAGAGAGAAGTGTATATACCAGCTGGCTAAAGACTGTGTCAAAGAGGTTGACTTTTTGACTGTATTTATTTTTACCGAAATGATGTTTTTGGTGATTTTCTTTGTTTTGGGCCACAACCCATGCAGAGACTGAAACCAGCAATGAATTTTATGTACACAGTCGCACACCAGTGAGCTACATCGCTGTGCTGGGTGACGCGTTTCTTCCCCATGATAAATGTAAGTCCCATCTTTTTTCCAAAAAAAGAGGGTTGCAGCAGTGCACCAGTTTCACAGTATACCATGGTATGAAAATTGATGGTTATCCTACCATGCACATTTGCTTACTACTGGTATTGAAGGGGGGGGAAAAAAAAAAAAAAAAACAATGCGTGCACACCTTTCTTTCCCGACTGCCTGTCAGATTCCACAACGGGCACCGCACGCATGAAGCGGACAAATGGCAGAGAGTTGAAGCTGATGGCCTGTCACCAAACTCCACCCACCAGAATGGAAATTAAAATCAGCAGTGTGGGATTACTTCAGATATCTCATTCACCTTCGAGAACACAATCTCTCCATGCAGTTCAAAGTATGTGTCCTGTTTATTACTTTAATACCAAACATTAAAATTTATGGGCATATAATTTTCTGTCTTAAAATGTGCTATTGAAGTAATTTTCCACATCGTGTTCATTTGCTAATCTCTGACTTACAACAGGACTCGCACTGATCGTGATCTGACCCCAAAAGCACAGACACAAACTTTCCTGGTTCACCAAAGTGTGTATGTTCTTGTTCTTGCTATATAGTGAGGACTAAAACATATTTTTTTTACTACAGAGGAGATTTTTGGAAAGTGAGGACATTTTGACCAACCCTCATATTCTGAAACAGCTTTTTGAGGGTTAAGACTTGGTTTATGGTTCATATTAGAATTAAGTTTGAGTTAGGGTCTAGGGAGTGCATTATGTCAGTGAGTGTCCTCAAAGAGACAGAAGTACATGTGTGTAAGTGAAGGTACAGACAGGACCAGTTTGGATGCATTTGGATGCACCTACAGTAAATTTAGCAACTATTTTGATTAATTGTTTATTGTGATGGCATTTCTCACTATTGTTTACAAACCAGTTAATTGATGTAATGGATAAAATAATCAGCAGATCGGTCTGTAATGGAAAATAATCAATAGTTGCACTTGGATACAAAACAGTCCAGCAGAGCTCCACCTAAACCAGCAATGACAGTCAGACCCTGCTTTTACATCAATGCATGAGTGATAGGCTGTTAATGAAATGATATAGGCCTAATATATAATATTACGGGATAGATCAAGGGTGCCCACATTTTTTCGCCTTGCAAGCTACTTTTCAAATGCCCAAGTCAAAATGATTGACCTACACTAAAAATACTACACGTGTACGCGCGCACCGGTCGATCACGATCGACGTATTGGGCACCCCTGGGATAGATAGTGTAACATTGTTCTGCACTGGGTAGCCTACTTCTACATTCATCATTTTTCCGCTTGGTCCATGAACGGGGTCACGGGGGGGAGCCAATCCCGGCCGGCGGGTACACCCTGGACAGGTCGCCAATCCATTGCAGGGCTAACACATAAACAAACACCCACACACACACACTCCTATGGGCAATTTTAGAGACACCAATCAACCTAAGCTGCATGTCTTTGGACTGTGGGAAGAAGCTGGAGTACTCGGAGAGAACCCACACAAGCACGGGGAGAACATGCAAACTCCACACAGAAAGGTCCCGGGTGGGGCCCGAACCTGGAACCTTCTTGCTGTGAGGCAACTGTGCCACCCACTTCTACATTTAATACTTTAATTAATAATGCTAAATACTTAACATTTACAATACAGGACTTGTGACGGTGTAGGCTACTTAAGAAAAAGATGTGAATACTTTATTACTGGTGTTAACTTGCTTTAGTAATATAACATAGTACATTTTTAAATTTTTTTTTATCATGTTTATAAGTCCTTTTAATATTTAGGGTCAATCTAGCTCTGCAGTCTAGTCACAATTCCTTTGAGTGTCATTGTAGCTGGTAATAATAGTAATTGTGTAATATCGTGAAACCGTAATATTTTCTGAGACGTTATCATACCATGAAAATCCTGTACTGTCACACCCCTACTTCTAAGAGACTTGGTGGCACCAGTGCTGCCAGTATGAAAAGCTAGTCTGGTATTGTGTTTCAAAGACATTTTAATTTGGACTCCATATACATAAGGAATAATATTGTATTTCTAATGAATCCTAATGATAAAAAAGGAAAATGATGTGTGTGTGTGTGACTTGCTGTGTAATACATGGTGATTATAGAAGTGTTGATATGTAATAATTCTTGAGAAGTGACTAAGTGATGTATTACAGCATCCCTCTGGTTCCTTTTTTCAAGACATTAACCCTTTTAGTTCAGCTGTAAAGGGCTTTGTGAAATGATCTGTCTGAGCGGGCATGTCCGTTTGAAGAGATGCTTTGGCTATAATATGCAGCTATTGAGTTGTCTGCCATGGAGGCTGGCTCTTTAAAAAGGAGACCTCCTGTTGCTATAAATCACACTGGATACTGAGAGGGTTAAGAGGCTACAGGGGGTTGGGGGGGAGGAAATGTGCCATGGTTTAGGAGTTTTATGGGAACTGCACACAACACCCCATCCCCCTCTCCTCCAGCACGCCCAGCTTTCTCCAACCCTCTGTACTACAGGCAGCAGGCAGAAATAGAGACCAGAGGGAAAAGTGTCAGGGAAACTTAGACCACTGTGCTGATCTCACATTAAATGATCTTTGAAGCATCTTCTGAGTTCCCCTTCAGTTCCATCTTGAGTCATTAAGAGTGAGGACTCAGAGTTTGGCACACCTACATGTCAGCCACCCACATAGATATGCTCTGTTTGGTGTCAGCTGACTGTAGGAAATGTAATCATGCTGGTCCATATGGTTAGACAGTCATCTTGGTGTCGAATGTGTGCCAATAAAGTCCCACAATTGGGTGTCAGTTTTTCTGTGCTTTATCAAAAATTCTATCAAATATCAATATTTTTCAAGGTATCGTATCAAAGTCATAAATTATGTCTCAAAGAGCATCTTATGGATTTGTGATTAAATAATCTATTACTTTCTCATGGTAACCATTAGTGGATGTGTTTTGTTAGCCACTGCCTTGAAGCTCTAGCTAACACTGGGACAATGGCTCTTCTCAACTGCGTTGTCTGTGTTCTCCATCTATTCATCATGTGCACAAGTGTAATAATTTACAGCATGGGATGGGCAATGATTTTTAAATAGTCAATATATTTCCACCACTGCAAAACATTGGGGACTACAGGTTGTTGGTTGGTTGTTCTCTATTGCTGCTGTAACACAGAAATTTCCCCACTGTGGGATCAATAAAGTACCTACCTAAAGTCACAGCATACGCACATGACAGTATTGGCAATATGGGGATTGGGGGGGGTTTCAAATAATTGTTGAATAGTTCAGTGAAAATTAAATATCTTGTGTTGAGATGCCCATTGCTAGTAAATTGGAGCCTCTCAGAAATGTATTTATACCTTTAATGCATTTCAGTGACTCATTTCTGGGAATTCATGTGGTAGGATGCAGGGAGTTCTCTTAAAGTTAATTAGTGTTTTTGTGGTGCTGCTATAGGTCTATGTGTGTGTGTGTGTGCGTGTGCGTGCGTTGAATTTCTGCACTCTTGCCAGCTATGGTGTTGATCTGGTTGCTAGGCAGCGACTGACTTTAGCTCTGGAATGGGCCTCACCATAGAGGAGGAGGAGGAGGATGGGGAGAGAGTGGGTGTGGCTCAGCGTGTTTTGGGTCAAGCTTTTCCCAGAAACTGTTAGCTAGTTTAATTTGGATAGTCATTTTAGCTACATTCTCTAGTTTGAATGTACTGAAATATGATATTTATAACCTATCCGAACATGTGTGGAGCAGAGGGGTTTCTGTTGTGTCACTTAGTGGTTTATTTTATTGCTGCTGTGTACAGGGGTGTTTGTTCTTGTGTGCCAGCTGAGGTATCTGCTAACTCTAGTTATATTTAGCATTTCTTTGTCCCGGGCCAAACAAAAGGGCTTGGGAAGGCCTGTGTCAATGCAGACCATCCTAAAGAACAAGACATTTCAGTAAACAAAGTTACACATTGCTGTATGTACATGGTTTTTTCCCTCAGTTGGCAGAAAAGAAGACAAATAAGGAATGGAATGACAACAAAGGGTCTCTGAAATGTTAGCTGCCTTAATCAGTGCTTGTATGTTCTCAAATTTCTTCTTCTACTTTCAGCTGTTCCTGTTGGGGGTCGCCACAGCGAATCATCTGTTTCCACCTAACTCTATCCTCGGCATCCTCCACTCTCACCCCATGTTCTCAAACATACCCTCAAATATCCACTAGACATTTTGGGAAATACCATTAATTGCTTTCCTGCATGTAGTTACCGCAAGGTTTGCTGAAGTGAGGAGGTTTACCGAACGTTGCTTTTATAGAGTGGTATCAATCCTTTTATCCAGATTTTGACAAAAAAGCAAATGATCCCTGAAACTGTTGAAATTTACCTTTTAATGGGTTTTTTTTCCATTTCAGCAAAGACTAGGCCCTCTTTGCAATAACTGCCCACAGGTAGTCCTGCTTTGTCTGTAGTGTTAAAACAAAATGCAAATATGAAGCACAGGGCAGTTTAACTGCAGGGAGTGTTGTGGTGACACATGCTATAGAACTGTACCATCCTGCGTGTGCCTCTGGCTCATTTAATGTTGCTCACTGTGCCCAATACATGTGAAAATGGGGGAAAAATTAACAGGTTTAAAAATGTAACTGCACAATTTAGTGCAATAAACAAAAGCATAGTGAATGAAAAGAAATGAAAGAACAATGTGTTGTATGTTGCAGCTTGCAGGAGGTGTAATCCTGGGTGTGGCACTGTGGTTGAGACATGAACCCAAGACGAGCAGCCTACTGGAGCTCCATTATGAGGGAGACCATGCCCCCACTACTTTCTACATAAGTAAGTATCTCATGCATGCTGTGGGTATGTTTCATGTCTCTTATAGGATTGTTCCTGTATGCTCGGTTGACCCGGAAGTCGTTCTGGTCGACTGAGAATGTAGGATGCTCCCAGTCTCTTATATTGATTCTGAGGACTGAGGAGCAAAGACAGAGCACAGTGCTGGAGGAGTTATGACCGAGGATGCAAGTTTATTATGAAGTGACACACCCCTTTATCAGAAATCAGTTGGTGACTGGAAACTCATGTCATTAATAACATGTTTCCTTGAGTCCTCTCTCCTCACATTTTCCTCGTATCTTACATCGGTGGAAATAAGATGTAAGGAAAAGACGCAAGTGAAGGAAGCAACTGTTTATAGGAGACATGAGATGTACCCACTGTCTACTATCTGTCTGTGGCCGTCTTCATGCTGTCTCTGACTTGAAGAAATTCTCTTGCTCAAAATGGTGGTGTTGCATTACTTCCACATGACTGCATTGCCCTCCACTAAGCAGGCCCAATTACACTAACTGTTGCTCGGTGGAGTTATTCAAATGCAAATGCTTTTCAAGGGGACCTATTGTGTTGTTTTATCTTATTTGCACAATGTTATATTGTTGGATGACCATGCTAAACCTAGCCAAAGTTCGAAAACCTGAGGAGAGCATATGTTTCAATTCTCGCTGCTCTGCTGACCTTGTTCCCATGCTTTTTATTTCTCCTGACAAAAAGTTTAGGCACCCCTTGATACATAACAGATTTTGGTGATTTTTTATTTGAACAGATGTTAACACAGTTTCTCTTGGAAATGGAAAAAATGCACAATATTTTCTGCAAACAGTGATGCATAGTTACTTCTTATGCCATAAATTGAACAAAAATAAAAAATAAAAACATTATTATGGCATGGTGCAAAAGTTTGGGCACCCTACACAATCAGTACTTAGTAACACCTCCTCTGGCAGATATCACAGCTTGCAAACGCTTTTCATAGCCAGCTAAAAGTCTTTCAATTCTTGTACTTGGGATCTTCTCCCATTCTTCCTTGCAAAAGGCTTCTAGTTCTGTAATATTCTTTGGTCGTCTTGCATGCACAGCTCTTTTAAGATCTACCCACAAATTTTCAATGATGTTTAAATCAGGGGACTGTGATGGCCATTCCAAAACCTTCAGCCTGCGTCTCTTGAGGTATTCCATAGTGGATTTCGAGGTATGTTTAGGATCATTGTCCTGTTGTAGAAGCCATCCTCTTTTCAGCTTCAGCTTTTTTACAGATGGTGTGATGTTTGCTTCCAGAATTTGCTGGTATTTAGTGGAATCCATTCTTCCCTCCACCCGTGCAATGTTTCCTGTGCCACTGGCTGCAACACAACCCCAGAGCATGATAGATCCACCCCCATGCTTAATAGTTGGCAAGGTGTTCTTTTCATGAAATGCTGCTCCTTTTTTTCTCCAAACATGCCTTTGCTGATTGTGTCCAAAGAGTTCTATTTTAACTTCATCAGTCCACAGCACTTGTTTCCAAAACGCATCGGGCTTCTGTAGATGTCCTGTTGCATACTTCAGACGTTGGATTTTATGATGGGGACGCAGATAAGGTTTTCTTCTGCTGACTCTTCCATGAAGGCCTTGTCTGTGCAAGCATCGCTGCACAGTGGAACGGTGCACCACCACTCCTGAGTCTGCTAAATCTTCCTGCAGGTTTTTTGCAGTCAAATGGGGGTTTTGATTTGTCTTTCTGACCAGCATACGAGCAGTTCTGTCCGAGAGTTTTCTTGGTCTTCCAGATCTCATCTTGACCTCCACAGTTCCCCTGATCTGCCATCTCTTAATTACATTTCTTACTGTGGAAACTGCAAGCTGACAACGCTTTGCTATCTTCTTGTAGCCTTCTCCTGCATTGTGGGCATCAATAACTTTCACTTTCAGGGTCTTACACAGCTGCTTAGAGGAACCCATGGTTGCTGGGTGTCCACAAGTGTGTGCACAAGGTTTGAAGAGTCAAAGTATTTGTACAGCTTTGAAATTGGCATTTACCAATGACAGCTGTTGCTGTGCATCAGATCTAACGAGCTGATTAAGGTCTGATACCTTGTGAGAGACTTTGAGACTCTGGAACTCTTAGGGTGCCCAAACTTTTGCACCATGCCATAATCATGTTTTTATTTTTTATTTTTGTTCAATTTATGGCATAAGAAGTAACTATGCATCACTGTTTGCAGAAAATATTGTGCATTTTTTCCATTTCCAAGAGAAACTGTGTTAACATCTGTTCAAATAAAAAATCACCAAAATCTGTTATTTATCAAGGGGTGCCTAAACTTTTGCATAAGACTGTATGAATGCCATGGAATTCCATAAACGGAGCACCGCGCTGGGCCTCCTCTCCAGGTCCAGACTGCTCTACCGGTGAAGCACATTCACTAGGTACAGGCTGCAGGGACTGCAGCACCAGTGACCACCAGAAGTGAATCCCAATTCCCTTATTATATCACTTTTTGGTCCTTGATTTTTGCTTGACCCGGAAGTCACTTCTGTCTGCTATAATGATAGACATCCTAAAGGTCTCATTTCTGCTCTGAGGTTGCTGGAAGTATGCAACCAAAGATATACAAGTGCATCCTTTGCGGATGTCTGTAACAGATTGATACACCCCTTTATCAGAAATCGGTTGATTGAAGAAGTCACATGCAGGATAGGGGGAAAGGACATCTCTTGTCAGTTAAAACATGTTTCCTCTCTAAATAGTTTCTCCTTGCATATTTTACTTGGGGACTAAGCCACAAGGAAAAGATGTAAACGAGGGAAACATGGATGCAATTAGAAATTCAATTCAGTTTTATTTATACAGACCCAGATCAAAAGTAATCTCAGGGCACTTTACAAAGTATGGTCTATTATTATTATTATAGAGGACTACCCAACAAATCCTCTTTGAGCAGCACTTGGCGACAGTGGGGAGTAAAAACTCCCTATTAACAGAAGAAACCTCTGACAGAGCCCGGCTCTTGGTGGGCGGCCTTCTACCTTAAGTGGACAGAGGAGAGAGAAAAGCAACAAGACATAACAAACACAACAGTCAATCAAACACTGGGTAGGTTGATGTGGCCAGTGACTGCTCATCAGAAACATACAGCTCCAGACCCAGGGCTACCTGCAGAAAAGTACAGGGAGAATGAAAGAGAACACTACGGGAGAGAGGAGACACACAGTGATGTGTAATACTGGCATATAGATGCATGGAGAGAGAGGAGAGGGACTGCTGGTTATGCTGTTACTGAAGAACAAGCAACTTTATTGGGCCAACATGTTGATACAGAACTCCAAACTTTAAGTATGCCACTGATAACACTAAAATGGTTTTTGTTTTTTTTCTTTAATATGTTATACTCGGTCTACACAACTGTGGTAGTGATCATCTGTGGGTGTTGGTTTGTGTTTGCACTGAACTGTGAGGTGATAGCTTGCTAACCCTATCTGTGTTAGTTTGTGCATTTCAGTCTTCACAAACCATTTCAGATGTGTATCAGCTCCCGTCAGTCCTGCATCAGTGGAAAACATTGGCCAGTCTTTCTGCTTGATAAATAAAAAACACTTCAGTCAGTCTCAGTTGACTTAGATATATTTGTTGTGAGCCCATGAAACGGACCATACACATTAGACAGTACAGAATCTGTTTAACTACTACTTATTCCATCAGCCACCAAAGTACAATGAGGACAAGGTCAGATATATTGTCTCTGAATAAGAAAGTCCAGTAAGAGCTGCTTGTAATAAGCCTGTCTTCAGATACTGAGACACTGCAGTCTCCACCATTAGACTGTATGACTTCAAAACATGTGACCCTCATACTGTAAGACATTACAAATGACCGTTTAACAGTGTTCTAGCACTAATTCATGAACATCTCAGAAAGTTCGATCACACCCTTTTCATTCTTCTGGAAGCAGCCCCAGCTGCTCTGTTAGCATGTAGCTATTGATATCAGCTGCAGAGTAACATCATCTCTAATCCAGTTGTCTAATTCTAATGTTACAGAGTTTCACATTAACATCACATCAACGTTATATCAACAAGTGCTGTGTAAGCATTTAACCTCCTGTGGTTAATGTTGTCAGAATGGATTTCTCAAATGTGTTGTTTCAGTTGATGCTGGTGTGCTGCTGCTGCTGCTGCATGACATTTAAGTAAAAACATGTCACGTTTCTCTGTCAGACAGCGCTGTTCAGCTGAATACACCGATTCTTACTGCCGTAACATTATATCCGAAAAAGGAGTGGTCTAATAATTGCACACTTTGGTCTTTGCACCGATAGTGAATGAAACTGAAATACAGTTTGTCAGTGATATCAAACATTTTAGCTCAAAAACCCATAAATGGGTTTCAACTGAGTCAAAAGCTGGATGTGGCCCGCTTTTTTCTATATCATAGTTACTGTCTGCTGCACTGTTGAGCTGTGAGAAACTCTGTGTATACACTATATGTGAGTAGTACATCAAAGCAGAGGCCCTGTGCTAGTTACTTTATGCCCTGCGACCCTCGGCACCAGATGAAGCAACTAAAGTGTCGAGGCTTGACAGTGTGTCTATTTCACTCACATTCATGAGTAAAAATCTGTGTGTGCAAATATGAATAACTGGTGCACTCGAAGATCCTAGGGGTGTCAGGTTGTAAGGACCGGGATAATTTTTTCAGGACTCAAAAAGACCAGTGATTATGATTAGTGGAATGGAAAATAAGGTTTGGATGTTTATGGAGCAGCTTTTCGTCACTGACTCCTGCTCTGTTGATGTTTCACCGAGGGTGGGGTTCAGCTCTTGCATGCTGTGCAGACAGCAGCTGAGGCTGCAGTGGAAAGAGGGAGCCCAGGTGAAGTGAGACTTTACTTGAGTTAGCAATATCTATGCTATACTGTATGTGTGCAATAAAACCTCCCAAGTAAAAAGACAGTAAAAGTAAGTCCGTCACATAAGTAAAACTTTGTTGGAACTGAAATGACGCCTCTTTCCAACTGTAG